AAATTGTGTACTTTGTGCCATTATGTGGCTTCAACGGTTGAAGAGCCATTGTTTTGCTCTACATATTTATATGCTTATGTGCTGCCTACTACAGACATTTCCACAGAAACTCAACTCAAACTTTTCGAGAGAACCAAACCAGGACAATGTCCCAAACTGTCCTTTCTTTCATTTAGAAAACAGCAGGGCGCAGTGTGCTGTAGTCCCACACTTACTAGTGAAAATGAAGCACCGTTTCTACTCTTACTAATCATTCAAAGCTCTTTATTCTACAAGCAGCATTTACTCACACATTATTACAGCACTTTATGCTATTCCCTGCTTTATTCTTGTCACATCCACACCAAATCCAATCCAAATCCAGGCACAGGAAGAACATGGAAACTCCACAGAGTGTGAGTGCTGTGAGGTGACAATTCTAACCACTGCATCACTGTGCCAAGTACTCTGTTTGTTTTAGAAATAGGAACTGCCTGATTAGAGGCTAAGAGAGAAAAATCTTCAGCCCACTGGCTTCCTGCGACTTCTCCTGATATTCACCTTCTCTATCTCCAGATGTGCTGACAGCTGGCAGCTTTAAGATCATTTAATGTATGATTCAACTACGGCCTGACGAATCCTCATAGTGCCTATGATGTAACCCATGTGAGTGCACTGTGTCATTGGCAGCATTCACGCCTGTGCTTGTGTACATCTCCTCACATATATTCTGATAGTTTCAGCAATCTCCCTCCAGGAATATGCTAACATTTGTTAGCCCCCACATTTTGTTAATATTGAGTTTTTTAAATTGAGATGGTGATTGTGCTTCTCTCACTGATATACGAAAAAAAAAAAGCAGATGGAAATGCACAGGAAGAATTGATGTTGGTGAACAGGCTAATCCCAATAGCTGTGCACTGCCTGGACCCAACGTGTAGTTACATTTCTAGAGAGGTGCACGTTAGGTTACGCTGTAGGGTTTTAGAAGAGTTTGTGGTGATGATGTTGCTATGGCATACATTAAGTCAGGCGCTTGTGTTTCCACATCCAGCTCAGCCGATGAGGGCTGCATCTGAGGAAATAGCTTAAGTGAAGTGAAATGAGGTAGCGCATCTCATGGGGGGCATTAGTTTTTATTTTTCCACCAACTAAACAATAATAGGTCACAAGACTGTTACGTTTTGATAGCTACATTAACTGAAACAGGATTAAATGAATGGTATAACAAATAACCAGTCCTAAACATTGGCCAAAGTTTTCAGGTGCACAATACAAAACAGATGTTCATCTAATCCATAACTGAACAAAAAACAAAAGTTGGTGCTGAGGGCAGACAAACTGAGTAAAGGTGGGTTATCACACAGAGGATGGTTCACGTCCTGTTTAGAGCTGTGTATTTTTTGCACTTGTTTTGCTGTTTCACATTGTCCACACAGGCTTTTTACCTTTTCTTTCTCTCACTAGTTAGGTTTAAGAACTAAAGAGTACTTGGTTTAGGAAATGATTGCGGTTTAGGTTAAAATGTGCCCATTAACACCTGAAAACAGGGTTAAGTACCTTCTGAATATTCCGTTCAATATTGAGTGGCAGGTTGAAGAGAAACTTGAAACGCTGCAGGACGTTGAGTGCATTGCGTGTGGAGTCAGCTTTGTCTTTCCGGCCCAAGACCTCCTGGAAGAGAGTATCGGCAGTATTGCTCGCTCCTACAAGAAAGACGAAGTGAGAAAGAGTGAGAGAGAGTGAAGGAGGCTGGAGAAAATGAGAAACTAGGATCCTATATAAATAAATGCTGATACCACATTTCCCTCTTATTGCTGGTCTCTGGTTTTCTTCCCGCTCTGGATGTTATTTGACACAGAGAGAGGAGCAGGAGCAGAGACTGAGCTGCTAAGGAGAAAGTGACGGCTATCTCTTAGTCAGGCTGCTTGGTGGGACCTTTGCACAGCTGACTTACTTCGTGGGTGGCCTTGGATGTGCCGTCAAATAGAAAAAAAACTCGAGTTCTTCTAATCAAAACAAAACTCCACCCGCAAAACAAAATCCCTGAAGGAAAAACAGCACGAGACCAAACAGGGGAACATCTAACATTTTTCCCTCACCAATCTTAGCTGTGACATTTCACAAGACTATTTCGTGATAGTCTGACTGGCGCCTACGGTAGTTTGAATCTCTTGGTTTTTGGGGGTGAACGATAGACTGGACCCACTGGGCCATGGGCCCTCAAGTCTGGGATGAAAGCTATGTCCGGCTACGAGGTTTATTTATACTAGAAAAGGGGAAAGGACCAGCTTCTTGACCCTCCATTAGAGCAGTCCCATTATCATGTGTGACATGAAATGGCGGACACACGTGCACGCACACGCAGGATCTGCACGCTAAAAACAGAACAATCTGCAACGGTGAAACAATGTAGACGTGTTTGGTCTGACGGCACAGTGCATCAGAGTCTGCGACAACTCCTGGATGCTGAAGGTGGGTGATCTACAGCACTGCACTGGCTCGTCGCATACTCTTTCTCTTTTTTAATGTAGGCTATTCCTGGGCAGTATTACCAAAGCCCCGTGTCACTGAGATGTTGTCAAATTCTGGAACTTTTATTGTATTATTAAGATTTCTAAATTAAAACACCCCCTGAAAAAGCATCTTGTGGAGTTTTCGTCTGCACACTGATTGAACACTTACTGTTGAGGATGTTTTCTAGCCGCTGAGTCATTGATCCCTCCACTTTCTCTGTGCCATCAGATTCCAGCTTCTGGTGGATAGCTGCAATAAATAAATAAATCACTATTAGCTTATTTCACAAAATTTAAAAATCATAACTTAAAGCATAGAGGGGTGAGAAATGTAAGACTGGTTTTACGTTCCCAACGCTGCAGAGTAACCAATCCCCGGGAACATTTTCAATTTCAGGAACCAAAGGTAAAACAAATAAACATGCCCTACCCCCGTGGTAGATGGCAGATAACTGCCTTGGTTCTCCACCCACAGATGCTGTTACTGAAGCCACACACCCCCATGGTTGTTCCCACGCAACAAGGACCTGACCTTGTCCCAGCGAACAACTGTATTGGATCAATTCACCTAACCAAAGCCATCAACAACAAAGTGTGGTGGTCTTGGGACATTTGGAGCCCTTTGACCTGGAGGTAATGTGAATCTTAAAATGTTTCCAATTTTGGGAAGAGCAGAGCTTGAGGTCTGTATACTAAAAATGACTGTACTGGGAGCGTGGTGGGGAGCAGGAACTCTCTGATGGTTTGTATCAATCACTTAGCAAGAAGAGCTTTATGCGGGAGAGGGAATTTTTTTTTTTTTTAAAGGAACGAGGGGAGAAAAGGAGAAAAAAAATAGGGAGAGAAGGCAGCGGGGCTACCCCAGTATATAAATAAAGAAGTGGGCAGCTGGGTGGTGAGAGCTGCAGTGTGGGTTTATTGACAGAGTAGAAGAGAGTTGGAGAGGGTTTAGAAGATTTTCTAATACGCACTTGTGAAGCAACTCAAATATGTGACAAGCAGACACCTAAAGAATGAAGACAAGATAGAAACGGATGGCAAAAAAGGACAGTACAACTCTCCATTTCCTTCTCTTCATTTCTGTCCTCCCTCTGTTGTTCTGATGCTGGCTGTTAGCAGAGCTTGACAGCAGAGGGAGCGGGAGGCAAAGTGAAGGGGGAGCGTTCTGAAAATAAATATATGGGTCCGTTCTGACAGACAGAAGCCTCAAGGCAGAGACCGAGGTATTCCTAAAAACACCCAGTTCAAACATGCCATTGCCTAATCAGTATGGACGTCACTGGCCTCTTGCTCTTGAGCAGCAGAAAATGAGGCCAGATGCCGGTTTGGTCAAAAGCTCAGAGACGTGGGAGTGTATACGGGAGATGGCTGAATTAATAGGACTAAACACAAAAGAAGACACACGCGTACACTCAAGGTCTGCTTCATGTCTCCACACTCCTCCTTGCCCTACTGCCAGTTTGCGTGTCCTCTGCATGTGTCGCACACTGAAGATCTCATGATGTCACAGCTAACCTAAACATTAGGTCAGGGTCCGGATAACACACGAGCCAGGACCTGAGGAAGAGCTGCAGCTCCTGCTTAACTTCCTGGAACCGTCGAGGCAAAAAAAGAATAAGAATAAAAATACAGTGTCCCTGGTTTCTAAAGTCGGCGATGTTTTGACTCCAGCAGGGGATGGGGACTCGGGGAATAGGCCCTGGGAATCGTGCATTTTTGGAACACGGTAGCTATTCCGCTTCCTGCGTCAATGGGAGACTTCCTTTTCACACAACAATGAAAAACCACAAATTTCAACATTTTAGTGGCAACAACCCCAGTCCCTGACAGACTGTCAGTCAGTCAATCAGCCAGTTTGTCTGCGTCCCAGAAGCACGCAGACAAACTGGCTGACTGTGTGCGTCTGGCTGATGGCTTGGTCACATTTGTCACCGAGGCTCCATGACCAAATGTTCACTACAGCCAAACCCCATCCATGTGTGTGCTGGTTCACAAGCAGTGGGTTTCTTTTGTTGTTTGTTTTTTTAAAACGGCTAAACAATTCCTTTCTAAACATAAACAAAATACTTTGTAATCCACAGAAATTTGGTGGTATAGAAAAAAATCCCCAAAAACAAACAAACATGTACAAGTGAACAGGGTTTCTTCAGCAGCATAAAAATGACACCAACACAAAACACTACCTTAACTATAAAACAGAGCTCATACATGTCAAGGAATTTGAAACATACAAATTTACAAGGGTTTAGAGCTGCTTAAAAATGTACATTTGCAGCATTCCAACTCAAGTGGCCTCCAACATCAGGACTGGCATGGCTGAGTATATCTGGCAGTAAGCTTGATCACCAAGTATAGTAAAAGCAATTAGACTGTTAGCTTATGTGACAGGAATCCATGCAATTTCTGGTCAATTCTGACCCTCTGACAAGAAACAGAAAATCTTTATTCCTCATTAAGTGAGGAAGATATTTACCTTTGAAGCTGCTAAAGCCTTTTTCAGAGGCACTGAAATTTTCCCTTTACAGAACGTAAGATTTCTACCTTTGTACTTGGTAACTAGCACACTTGACAAAGTTAAGCATGACTTTGTGCCTGATACCCTATTAACCTAATCCTACGTCTACCCAGGGCTGGTGTTCAAAGGCCTTTGTTTCAAAAGTGCAAACATGAATCTGTTTTTTTAAACAGCATCTGACTGACATTTTATTTGGTTGTGACTTCACAAATTAGTATTACCGAATGGAAATTAAAAACATGTTTAATCTATTTATATACATTTTATTTACATTAGATTTCTGTCGGCGCTCGGTCTTGTTATGTGTTGGTGAGCTTTTTCTTAAGCTCCTTTGTGCAGTGAACATGCACTCTTGCAATATGCTAGTGCAGCACGGTGGTGCAGTGTGCAGCACAGCTGCTTCATAACAAAAAGGTTCTGGAGTTGAACCGGCTGCTTGTCTGATTAGTCTGCAGAGGTGTGAAGGAGGACGTTTATTCAAAGTAAAGTTTAAAGAAACATTTTGTTTTCAACAAGCTAACAGGACTACTTTTCAGCTTTCACTTATTGTCATCACTATTTAGATGTTCTTCTCAGCTCGTTTTCTGCTGGGTAACCTTGTTTCTTGATTTGCCAAATTCTAAATTAGATAAGGTGATATGAGATTTTATTTTGCCATTTGTGCTGGAGAAGCTTAGCTGTACTGGAGAGCAATTAAGAGGCAATTATTTTGGACAAGAAGAAGAGAGGGAGAGGCAGAAAGTCCACAGATGTTCAAGTCAGAATCCTGCTGTTTGTTCTAAACATTTTCTAGCTGCCTCATTTCTTTTCCTACATTTGGCTCCTCTCTGTTGTTTCCACCTTGTCGGCAGCAGTACACTTACATTGAAGAAGGAAAAAAAGCTCCAGACGTCGCCTATTAAAGTCATCAATAAAAATCTCACATGCAAGCAGAACTGAAAATAAACACGAGAGGAGACGAGAATGTTGTAATGGTGACGAAGAGGCTTGGAAGCATTCAGCAACTTCTAATGCAGCACATTCTGAACTACGAGAACACATAAGTGCCCTGTTAAGTTTTTCTATTCACTGTTAATTTTTTTCTAATTCTAATGGACACTTTTCAGATGAGGTTCATTTGGACCAATTCAGAACTGCAGAGAGCTGCCAAACATCGAAGAGAGACAAAGAAAGGATTCACAGTTGCTCTGACAGCTGTGTTAACGAGGTCTGGCAGTATAGCTGGCAGGCTCAAAAGCAGCATGCTGGCTGGTATGTTGGTTTGGCTGACCATACATAATGTACAAAATAGCTCCACTTGAGCCCTCCGTTTTGGGCCTCCACTTCATTTTTTATGACTGAAAGCAAAATTTTGGCATAAAAAGGATGCTGCAGGCCTGCAATGAGTCATAGTGAGCAGACACGATTCAGGAAGTTGAAAAATGAATTTTTAGTCATAATTCCTCTTCAAACATGAGACAGTTTCTGTTCTTAGTTCACTAAAAATGTCTTTTGAAAATCAGTGGTCACACAGCTTGAACATAAAGAAATATCTCTAAGCAAAGCTTGAAAAATCTACACAGACGTTGAATTTCTTTAATAAAAAAAAGGTTCTTTAGTCAACTGGAAGAAAGTTAATATGACAAAAACCAAAAACTGCTAGTTTACACATTAGGAAGATCAAAAACACCATTAGTAGTAATTTGAAGACAAATTTCATGCCATCTGATTGTGTAACACTATATATACACTACATTCACAGACATACTCCCGCAGTCACATACCTGTGACCTTCTGTTAGCTTAGAAATGCTCCACTACATTCAGCAATTAGTTTCTTGGTGTGTCTGCATGCAATGAAATGGTTGGCCATGTTGCGTACCGTCGGGTGAGCTGAAATATTGAGCCGTCTTCAGTTCTCTGGAGATGAAGCCAGCCCCGTGCTAATCCCGGGGTGCCCAAAGATCACCACCAAGTCAAATTTAAATCTTATTAAAAGCACTTTTTAAATTGAACTTGTGACATTTTTGGGGGAGTCATAGAAATATCAAAGAACAGAAATATCATTGGCTGGCACACAGAGCAATTTCCTTACTCAGCATTTCAAAACTTTAACCAACAAAAGTAACTGTTAATCTCAAGACATTTGTCATTAAGAGTGATGCTTCTCATTTCTACAGATTAGCAAGCAGGTGGCAAACAAGTTCAGAGGCCTATTGATACCCACTAAACCAAATCATGACGGATTTTAGTATTTTGGGGGTTAATTTTCTGGCTATAATCATTTAATTGGCTAATCTATCCTGTCAGCCAACTGTTAAGTCTGTTTATAAGTAAAAAGCCAGAAAGAGTTAGTCAACCTATGAAGTACGAGCTTAACAACACAGTCCTACTGGGAAATCTAAATGTGTTTTGATGCACCACCCAGGAGCACCACCCGTAATGTCATACAATGACAATAAAGAGATTCTTCTATTTCTGCTTTAGAAAGGTATTGTGTGCTGGAAATTCATGTGGTAATGTGACTATACTACAAGCATTTAAGATTTTAAAGGTCCATTTAAGACATCTGAAGAATGTTTAGGGGAACTTAGTCATCCTGAATTCTCTGTTGGCTCCACGTAAATTAATTTTCTATACAGTTGACACAAAGTCTTTGGTAGGTGCTGCCTTATATCCATCTCAGAAAATTCACACAAGCCAGAAAACATCACAATAGTATGTGCTTGTGAGTCACAGGTCACATGAGTCCATCCATGGAGCACTGCTTCCCTTCAACCCCTGGAAACTGTACATTTCCCATTGGTGCAGTGGGCACACAGTAGGCACGCTCAGTCTGAACGTGAGAATGACTGCGCATTGTTGCCATTGGTCATATTGGGTCTGTTATCGGCACTATCAGTCCTAATACTCTGGCGTGCATTGTGTTGGGCTGCTCCGTTTATTTAGATTCAGCCGCTAACAATGAAAACATTGCCTCTCTTCCAACCGCGGCACAAACATACGGAAAGCAATAATAATAATGATGGAGGCAGAAAAGTGTACATATAAATAGTAAGGGGAAGTAACTGAGCAGCTAAGGCGGGAGCAAAGGGTAAACAGACAAAAGTATGAATGATGAAGTGAACAATCGATTCGAGGTACCTGGCAGAGCGACAGCCGTCGGTCTCTGCTACCTTGAAATCTTTTTTGCATGCAGAGGTCAGTGAGTGTGTGCATGTGTGTGTGTGTTTACGTCGACTTTTCAGAGTGAAGCGAGAGACTGTGTGACAGGTGAGAGCTGATCTCATTTTGATGGAGGTGAATTAACTGTGTTGTGGTTGGCCAGTGCAACTTCAGTGCCAAGTAGAGGGCTTTCACGCGGCATCCAAATGAGCCTCTTTAATCAACTGCTGCTAAACCGCATGCGGGGGGAAAAAAATCCAAAGACACACTCTTCCAAAAATCAAGAGCCATTTTCTAAGAGGAGAGTGAAGAGTGATGATTTGTAATGTAGTGTATTAATCAGACATCATTTGGGGCACTTCCACAGCACACAAAAATGTGTTAATTCCCTCACCTGACAGAGCGTCCTGAGCCTCAAAGAATGTACTGAGGCCTCCTTTCACATAGGCCAGACTCCCCTCGTTCTTCTTAGTAGCCTGCTTCTTCAGATTACTGGCTGCAATCTTCAACTGATCGAAGCTGTGAAAACAACAAAATGACACTGTCAGTATATCAAAGCTACAACTAATGATTACTTTCCATTTTTTTAAATAAAGACATAAACCATGAAGGTTTTGTGCAACCAACAGCCCAAAACATACAGTCATATTTTTGAAAGGTTGTGCGTGTGTTTCTGTATGCGCAGAGACACACGCACATCTGGGGGCACTTTGAGTGCGTGTGTCTGTGTGTCAGTCTCCTCGGTGAGGTTTCCTCCACAGGAAGAAACAGTCACCCAGTGAGGTCCAAACAGAGGCCCCTGCTAATGCTGAATCCCGGGGTCTGGGTTACTGGAAGGCTAAGCAGGGGGAGAGGAAGCCAGGAGAGTCCAAAATAACTCTCCTCTTCTCTGCCCTGACAGCCTTTTGGGTCAGCAGGCTGCCTTGTCTTCATATAGAAACTTAGTGAAGAAAATATAACCTCATTTCAATGGCACAAAACAAAATCATTTATTACTGGCTACTACCTATTTATGTAAATTACTCTGTGGTGATCTCATCAGTAAAATTAAAAACAAACAACCCACCCCACTTTTGCATCTTCTTAGGTAATTTTCTCTATAATAATTATGTTGCTACTGTCACACAATTAGAACGTAACAGGTTATGATCAGTAAGAGAAAAGACAGTTATGCAATTTTGTGATAAACAGTACATTAAACTTATTTAACAAAACTGACTATATAGTAAATAGTGAATGACTTCAGATTCAGCCCATGTGTACATTTTTCAGTTTATTCATTGCCATCCCTTAGATTGCACTATATGGTGACAAATTATGATTATTATCATCTGACTATCAGATATTTATTACTGCACTGATTTATACAGGAATATTTGAATTGTTTCAGCTAATTGTCAAACATGATGGCGTCTGGGACTAGCCTGCAGACAACCTAAATCCAGCCTGAACTGCTACTTAACTCAATTCATTCATAATGATCAGATTGTTACACTGGAATGTTATATTTTTCCTTGTAACCTGCAACCATCTTTTAAATTAGCTGTTAACATACTAGTGTTAGTAATGTGTGGCCCTCTGGTTATTTTATCCAGGTCAGTAGTTAGTAAAGTCATAAGATCATAGCAGCACTAATCACACCTACTGGCAAGGAGTAATATTGGAAGAGTTCAGTCAAAGAGGCACAACAAACCAGCAGCAGTTGCTGAAAATGATATATGAGCCTTGAGTTTGCTCCTATACCAGGATTAGTGTGAGTTTTACTGATGCACCTTATGTATTACGCTGTAAGCTCCTGTCTTGTGTCGAAGTAACTGAGTTAAAGAAAATATGAGCTTCAATTTTTGGTGGACCTCTGTGAAAGGTAGAGATATTTTACTGCTTGTTTTTCTATTTTCCTTTCCTCTTTCATATTGTTAGTTATGAGAGATGGTAGCTTAACATGAGTGACAAAGTAGGAGCTTGTGTACCTGGAGCCTGCATGGTTTTCTATGAGGTACCAGGTCGCAGAGAAGTTCTCACTGGTGAAGTCTGCGCTCATTCCTGGAAATGTCAGCTCCAAATCTTTAGGTGTGATTTTGCCTCTGAAAGAAGACCGAGAGAAAAAAGATGAAGATAAAACTCGACAGTTAAATAAAACAAAAGAACAGAGTAAAAACTGTGGTGGAATTAAAATAAAGAAAATACCCGTATAAATGTTTTTATAGTAAACTGTGTGTGAGCAGACTTTCGTAAAACAATTGAAGTCATTTTTAAAAGTGACGTGTGGGAGATCAAGTTCTCCAGCAGGGGGCAGTATCTGGCGGGGATGTACTGTGGCTGGGAGAGCTTGGCGTGGGAAGTGCAGTGTGTGACGCCTGGTTCCCCCTGGAGGACCCAGTACTCATTAAGGAAGCTTGATCTTTACTAATGACCTGTGGCCTACACAAACTAAACCCCTCCCCACCACCACCACCACCACCACCCACTCTGCAGTCACACATATGTACAAAACCCACATAAACAGTGCAGCATTTAAGTAACAGAAACACAAAATCCATGTAAAAGAACACACTCCGTGACGTACTCGCACGCAGGCGTGCGTGCACACACACACACACACACACACACACACACACACACACACACACACACTCCAGTGTTGCTATCATTATGCACCTATTTAAATCTAATATACATGCCTCTTTTGCATGTCTTGTAATTTTTTCCTATTCTCTGCTGTAGTTGATGTTTTGTCATGTTTGCTGTCCTTATATGCACCTCTTTTATTAGTTCAGCTGGAGCCTTCTTCCTGTAAATCTGGGTTTTTCCCTTCGCACCATCCATTGCTCATTGGGGGCCTGTATGATGGCTTGGGAAATTTTATCTCTCATAAAGAGAGGACTTTTGCTGTGAACGGGCATGGCATCTACATAAAACTGAATTGCTTCCTAGCCCGCTTGATTCCACTCGGAGCATGGATTGCAGCAGCTCTGGCTTCAACTTGTGATAAACCGTGCTCATCCTGTAATGATAAAATTTACTTCTGCTATTAATGCTAATATTTAAGTATGCAGGAATCTGACCACATGCAGATGCCGACACCATTTTCTTTTATTTTGTCTTTGTAACTTCTCCATCTTTTGTGGCAAGCAAACACTAAACAAGCAGTTTTTCAGCTCCTCATCAAGTTGCCTTTGAACATTTAGCTAGGGCCAACTTTGTTAGTAAACCTTGAAATATCACCACTGACAACAGTAAATGTTATATTTGACAATATGTTGACAAGATGCTCAGTCAACAAAGCTGGTGAACCCCTAATTTACTGGTCTTTGTAATGCTCCACAGGTAGCTTTTTATAAGCTTGGATATTAATAGGTATTACCCAAGCATTGTACCCCTGGCAGGAAATACAGCACACATAACAAACAGTTAATATTCAGTGAGTGTAACCATTTAATGCTCAATCTGTCTGAAGTTGTTCAAACACTTGGAAGTTTTAACTAGTCCAAGCATTACGTTATGAACAGCTGGTGCAAACAGCCCAGCTGAGTAACCTTCCAGGGACGTCACTACACAAAAATGTACACAAACACACAGACCAGACAGACAACAGGGTGATGCTTTATGATGAACAAAAACATCTCTACCTTCTGAGTGCCTTTGTGTCACAAATTAAGAGCAACCGCTGGGACACAGATAGCGATAGCGTGTTTGTATATTAAAATCAAAGAGACTCTTGTATGCTTCACATAGTGCCTGCTTAATGCATCCCTAGGAGCAAGTGAATGCTACAGCCTGTTTATGGGGGTCTTGCTCCTGACCATGAGCGGTCACTTGCCCCCGGCCCCTAAACCAAACAAACACTAAGCTAGAAATGCCAGAACATGACAACACAAACTATACATTACAACTTGTGTATTCCCTGCCAGGCACGTGGGAGGCAGCAGCATGTTCGCTGCTCTCAGGCGCTCTACAAATGTGTGGGTTTGCTGCCTTAGCTTTTATCTCTTTATCGCCATCCTGTCTGCTTTATACACAATTATTGTGTTTCCACTGCCTGTGTGAGCGGTTAGAGGCTGTTCAGCCATTGCTGTGCTGGCATAATATTTCAAACGCTGGCATATGGGGAGAGTTTGTTTCTGTTTAGGGATGTAAACCATGACTCAATGGCTGGAGCACTTGTGTTTATGGCGGTGGGATTGTGCCGAGCCATTTTTCTGCGTGTGTATTTGTACGCTCTTGGTTCATACTTGTCTATGTCGATGCCCAGGGGGTTGCTGGGGCGCAGTGACAGCGGAGAGATTCCTTTGTTGCGGTCTGTCCTGAAGGTTAATTCATCCACCCATACTGCAGACTGATCTAGGATACCTGCAGACAGGACAGGCGAGACGCTGTGACCAAGATATCCTCCATACTACAGATGTACTCACACACACTAAGACAGTGACTCAAACATGCAAATGCACGACAAATATGCATTTATTTTTCTGTTGTAAATTATTTTAACTTAAATTTAGTACAAATTCTGACCACTGTACTCTGAAGATACAGTACCTGACCTAATTAATTACACAGTACACTTGGAGGCTCTTGTCAAGGAATTTAAAGTGACTCAAAACTTTGCAACTTCACTAAAAACATGCAACATATACATGGCACAAAGCATGTGTTGAAAACATACATTCTTTTGGGGTATGAAAAACTGACGAACATGGCCGGCCTTAGTTAAACACTAATGCCAACTTTACAGCCAAAAGAATAAACACAGTCTGCTCATTTGAGCAACATCGCTGATGTGTGGTCGACTTCAGCCAATCACACGTGCCTGTGCCTTTTCATCAGTTTCTGGTCAGAATGTTTCAAGTTAAATAAACAATGTGAGTTCATCTAAAAAACATCACTGATGTGTGGCTGGCTTTAGAGAATCACACATGCCCAGTTAGTCCTATTCTTTTTCTTAAAAATCATTAATTGTTTTGTCAAAATTATTATTATGTTTTTTTCAGTTATGGCTATTTTTTTATGTCCTCTCCCTCAAGTCACTCATTTTTCTCCATTTAAGGTTGTTTTTTGCTTTACTCAAATGCTTTAGCGTGCCATTTGTGGCTAAATAACCCAAATGTTGAATATCTTATAACATTTTATATACAAGAAGAGAAACACAATGAATAAAGAGAATTTAATGCTAAACTAATGTAAATAATCATTAGCTGTAGCCCTTGTTTAAACTTGCATCAGCTCCTTTTGTCCAGGCTAGCACATAACAAATGCCATGAGGGTGATATCTCAATCTTACCAATCCTCTCTGGCCTTATTAGTTTAAAGGAGACCGTAGAGGTGCCGAGACCTCCGGACTTGGTGGTGACGATGATCTCTCCCTTGTCGTCTTTGGCAGGTCCCACGCGGCACACTATTTTGCTGGCCGACATCCACTCGGCTGTCAGCAGACAGTTGTGACCGCAGATGGACAGGCCTGAGATGGAAGGGAGAGGGAAAAGGTGGAAGGAGTGAAAGATACAGACATGCAGTGACAGTGCAAACAAACAAACTGCAGCACACGCAGACACACAATCTAAAACAAGAGGAGCTCACTTTAGGCAGCTCTGACGTCTATCAGCGAGTTTAGTCACCCGGGGTCAAAGTTCAAGTTGGGGTTGCGATGGGTGTGGGTGGCCTTGATCTTCCTTCCTCTCACTCAGCTCCTTTAAGCTAATGAGTGCCACTTCAGTGCTAAGTGGCTCATTACTTTCACAATGTGCACTATGCCCCTGCATCTGTCATCCTTTTTTAAAACCCCTAACTAATACTATTTAGGCACTAGAAGGAATACACAAGGATTAGTTTGATATTTCCAGCTGAGGGGATTCAGAAAGCTTCACGTGTGTATAATCAAACGTTACAAAAGCCCACAAGAGCCGATCAACAAATAGCCCATAAAACCGTGAATAATATGCCCATTAGAGCCCCATTTCCTGCCTCTGTTCTCTACTGACCACTTTGTTTGAATACATAAGCACTCACACACATTTGTGCATATCTAATTGTATAATTCCAGGCCCTGGGGCATTCATGGTTAGAAATAGACCTCTATCACTGGCCAGTTCACGGCTTGCCAAGTGTGTGAGTCTTCTGGACTGCCCCCTCCTTTCCTCACCTCCAGTAAAATCACAGAAGTAGGATATCAGTGTGATGACAACAAGATGGTGGTAGCCCACCTGTATAGCTGTGGAATTATGTTTTTTGTTTAATGAAAAATACCGTGAAAACTAATTTTCACATTAGTGTATGCTAGATTTGTACAGTGATCGCAGCAAAATGTTTTTTGAGAGTAATCAGTCACACAAAAAGCAAAACAAAAGTCAAAAGTCAAAGTTTATCTGGCGAATTTGGACTTTTTTAATGGAGAATTTTCTATATGTGTGTTTGTGTGAAAAAAGTAAAGGTCATTCTAAATGTATAAAGAATTTACAGTACAAGAAACTGTGATTACAACTGCAACAAAAATGAAAGTAGGTATTATATTTTAAGGACTTTATGAACAGTGTTGGTCTACTTTTGGAAAGACTTCTATTTTTCCATATTTTTCAATGCTTTCAATATTTGTCAGAAATTAACAGTTGAGTGTTACTCACATGTGTTAAACATTTGATACAATATTGATTGCATATTTGGGGATTAAATGAGTAAAGTTTAAACAGCTCTGTGCTCAACTTATGAAACTGTTGTGAACTGGTCATGAATTTCTTATTCCAGAGCAGAAAAAAAAACAGGTATAGTTCCTGTTTTACATAATAAATAATGAAAAAAAAACTCTACAGCAGCTGCTTTAAAAATAGAGATTGGGGCCACATCAATAAAAGAAGCGAATGCAAGTGACAATTACAAAATATTCAAACCAGCAACTTTCTCTCAGTGAACCACATAGTAATACAAATAGTAAATAAACATATGAAAATAAGTCATCATTCATTATTTATAGTTTTATTTTCACTCCTGTTAATTAATTAGTTAATGTGTTGATATCTTGTGTAGACAGTTCTGTGTACAGATCTAAAAATGTTGATAAACTGTATATTTCTGTATTATATTCATTTGTAGAAATACACATGTGCACATTTGAGTATGGAAAAAAACAAAAGAAATATGGATAATTCGCATGCAAAACAGGACCAAGTTAAATATGGATGTCACTCCCCATAAAAATATCAATACTGTGTAACAGACATTTATGTTACACAGTACAGGACAGACAGTGTGGTTAGCTATGTGGTTAGAAAATGGATTACCGATGAGGTCGGCTGGGCCCGTGCCCAGGTTCTCTCCACGGATCGTGACTTTGGTCCAGGCTGCACCTTCTTTGGGCGATATGCCTGTGACGAGCGGGGGCTGCCGGGCTCGAGACATGGTGACCTGAGGTGAACAGGTAATCTGGGTCAATCAGCACCTGGACATGGCAAAAGAAAGCGAGGCATACACAACAGAATGAGGTCAGTAACACGGAACGCTGCACACTGACAGAGCAATCTGTGTAAAAATCAATGAAGCAGCCTACAGACCGAACATTAAACAGAGGTTTGGACAATCAGTTAATTAGTTCAAACGAAAACAGTGTTAAAGTAAAAACATGTGATTTTTTTTGCCTGATTTTCTACTGTTAGTCTGACACCTTTCTGTTTTTTTTAACCACTGTTTATTCATCATAAAAACCATTTAAAGCTTGTCAGCTTGTAATGTACAGTAAAAGCAATCCACTATCATTTTGACATATTTAAAGCATAACATATTGATTTAAACTGACTGAAAATATTTACCATTTATAATACTAAATAATTACTGCCCCACGACTGGGCAAAGTATTGTCAAACGACTGCAGTGTACAAGCATTCCCAGCATGAATCTGAAGATCAGGGGAAGAAAAACATCTTTGTATGTCAACATAGAACCATAGCAAATGAATGTAAAAACATTATCCTAATAACAAAAAATGTAAGCTTTTTTTTTCTTCTGAAATTCCCCAAACATTTCTTACTAAATTTCCAGGCAGCTCAATATTATGTTATTTAGTACTGACTAGAGTTGGCAAAATATGAGTAACATTTTGGCTGGCAGCTAGGGTTCATTTTCCACCCTGAACTTCTCCAAACAATGTATGCATTGCAGCAGTTATCTCTCAGATAATAGGAAAAATAGAGACGCTAGCCAAGAATGAAGGAGCAGACAGAGAGCAGGGAGGAAAGGAAGAATGTAAACCTCACAGAACAGGATAAATAAACCTGGCCTCCCCAATCATTCCACATAAGCCCACACAATGCTGAACAGATTATGGCACCAAAGAAGGAGCACCCATGCAAATCAGTTCATGTTGGGCCTGAGTAAAGGAAGACAAGGAAAGGTTCCAAATGACGGAAAAAAAATATGAAAGGATGTATTTCAGCAGCACAGATGTTTGCTAATAAATTACTGCCAGGTCTCAAAAAGGCTGACCAGTCAAGACTCTCTGAAACAGCTTGAGAAAGGCTTCCGCCCTTTTGCTCGGCAGCCAAAACACGTTCTCCACAAACAATTCAGGAGTTCACACGGACTGGACCTTCAGTGTGTTCATGCTGGTAACCCTTTGCACAGTTATATGGCCAATAATTAGTTGTAGGTGTACAAGTTAGACTTCCAAGAATGAACAGAGGCTCTTAAAGTCAAGGAAATAAAAATCGACAGAGCACAACATTTGGTTACTCTGCTTGTTATAAAGACTACAACAAAAAAGTGAAACTTTCAACACCTGCAGCAGGCTCCGCATATGACACAAGGTTTCCAACAGAAAAGTTGTTAGCCCTGAAACACCAAGGGGCAGTGGGCTGGGATTCGCTAGGATTTAATACTGCACTCAAATAATTTAACTCTATCTATGACTATAACGCTAACTATTAGTTGTTAGACACAAGATGATGATTTCCCACTTCCAGCATTTACTTTATTCTGTTAGCCTACATAAAATAACATCTGCCTGTTTTTTTAATCCCATTTCTAACTTCTTTAAAGTTTTAAAGCTGTTTTTTATTCACCTCAGTTTATCAAGAATAGCAAGATAATAAGATAAGTTAAATTTAATAATAATAATAATAATAAAAACACGAATAAATATTCACACATAATCCTGGCACGGGGCCAAAAAAGGCAGAAACCCTACATCAGGAACCATAAACTACATTTATGGGTGCAGCTTGTGCTTATCTTAATTTAACTGTTTTACTGTTCTTTTTGTATGCTTTTGTACAGGTTACAGACTCTCACAAACTTTTTTTCACTTGTATTTAAAGTTCTCATTAATATGCAAAATAGTTGAGACACAATAACCAGTTATAGATCAGTCTGACTCACAGCATTATTAATGTCACAATAATTCTGTGCTTTTGAGTTTTTAGGTATTATTATTAATATCTTATTGAACAAGATTAGATATTTATTTATGGTTATGACTGGAGGGGTGAATAACAATAGAAAATTCTTTATCTTTTACATGAAATTATTTAGTTAACTAAATCTAAAGTGTGCAAACTTCTTTATTCAAATCTGAAAATCTAAAACCATCCTAAAATAATAATAATATGCTATTGATATGTATGCTGAAGATACCCAATCAAGTTGCTTTCTTTTAAAAGATTACATAATAAAATTCAACTAACTTAATTTTATTATTCATTTAGTTGAATTTAATTCAACTAAAGACGTATTTATCAATTATCATTAGTTATATCTACATTCACAATAGCTTTTGATTTGACATGGTGAGTGCAAATAAACCTTTCTTTCAACATGTGCTTCATGTGTGTACTGATGATAGCCAGTGTCAGTAATGCACATATGATAACATTCTTAATATTATTTATTATTATCAATCATTGTTAATAAATGTATAATTGATGAGGTTTAGTACAGTAATGACCGTTTTGCAACATCCAAGCACTTTTACTTTTTCAAACACAATAACTTAAGAGTAAAAATCTGACATGGTGACAGTCCTATATTGAACAGCAAAATATTCTGTGCCAACTCGGGAAAATGCTCATGTAGCAATAAAAAGTTGTGAAACTTCCTGTAATAATAATAATAATAATAATAATAATAATAATAATAATAATCACTAACCTAAATTAATGTCTATACATATTCTGTAGCAGCAATTACAGTTGAGACGCATCAAAGCAGAACTAGTCACATGCACCTCACAACTCAACAGTTGCTGAATATTGGACATGTAGCACTAGAGTTTAAGGAAACTATATTTAAAAAATGGCTCATGAAAAAGCAAAAATACAGGAGCACAAAGCAACCTCATCTCACCCCACTGACACACACACACACACACACACACGCACACTACAGCCCCTGTCCCCAATTACCCTGACATCGAACAGTTAACATAAAACCTCCAGCGGGATTTACCTCATGTTGTTGCTGCTGCCCTGTGCTTGTCAGAGGAAATGGAGGGGCTATGGGTGTGACATGCAGATGATAAGAGGTTAACAGGTCTAAAACAAGAGCTTGGTATATCCATCATCAATCCCACATGTTTAGAGTGGGAGCAGCAAGGGTGCAGAGGACAGAGCTCTTTATTTTCTATAATTCTAATTTTGCATTCAGGAGTGTTTCTATCCTTTCCCCACTAATCTTGGAAATACACGTGCACAAACACACAGATAGCCTGGCCCCCACACACACACACACACACACACACACACACACACACACACACACACACACTGGGCAGAATGACAGCTCAGCTAGGTTGCGTGCGAGGGGCCCGAGCTGGTGTTGTGTGGTCTCTGCGTATGCAAGTGTGTGGAAGGATCTGCAAAGAGGTCCAGGCAGCTCGTGTGTGCGTGTGCGTGTGTGTGTGTGTGTGTGTGTGTGTGTGTGTGTGTGTGTGTGTGTGGTCTGGGTGTGTGGTCTCTGGCGCGGGCCTGGGGAGAGCCTGCTGACGGCTTGGATGAGAAAAGAGCCGCTGTGTTTACTTTACTCTGGGGGCTGTGCATGGACACGGGAACACTGCCCAGACCCCTCTCTATAACAGCAGCGTGCACGCACACACATGCAATGCACATAGTCACACAGAAACTACGGAGACCTCTGCACAAGTCTCATGTCATGCACCACTACAAATAAACTGCAAACAAGGTAATAGAAACTATAACTTCATACGGGCAGAGGCTTCACTGTGAATGGATTTTCCTTAAAGTAGCATGAAAAGAAAAACAAAATCTTAATCTCCAACTGGAAACTTATGAGGCAGGCAACATTTTCTGCAAGACTTGCAGAGGTATCAGCCTCTAGGGGGCATTAAGATCCTTAAGATGATACCCCACTTAATTCTAACAAGTGAGGCCAACAAACAATGATGATACATTAACAGATTTAGCCTCTTTCGTCCTGCTCGAGTCTCCTCCAACCATGATCTCCTCCCCGCCTTCAATACCACCAACTCCAACCCTTCTCTCTCTAGTACTTAAAAGGCAGGTTTGTTTTCCTTGGAGGCTCACTAACAAACAGCAGGGTTGGCTCTAATCTGTATGGAAGCTGTGGAACTTCAAGGTTTAGGATCTTTTTGCAGAACCACTAACAAGTGACCACCCTTCCTTGGCTCAGTGCTGGAAAATGCAGACACAAATGAAAGACTTTCCATTAAATCTCTAAAATAGTTTTGTCAGATAAAACCATTCCATTGTAACATTTTTTGATCCAACAAAAAACAACAACAAAAAAACCCAGAAAAGATATACATTTTACAATCCCAATGGAATGTCTTGCATACAAATTGAGCATTTGATGTGGATATTTTTTATTGAGTGCACGTTCTGATCTGATGCATTAAATCAACAGGCTACCAGCAAGTATGGTAGCCTGTTGATTAAGTACTATTTCCAGTATTTTTCAAACAGGATTAAATCGGGTTTATTATATATTATGATCAAATGTATAACAGTTAAAGAATTATATAAAAGAATATTGTTGCAGAATGTTTCTGGTTTTAACATAATTACAGTTAAAAGCATAAACAGTCCAACTCATGTTGACTACACTTTACTGTTACTTCAAATAAGGTACTAGGAAAAAAAGAATCCATTAAAATGGATTCATAAACCGTCATCTGATGTCACTAGAACCTTAGAACTGATGTGTAGCTGTAATGAGCTCAAAATTTAAAGAATCAGTCTGACAGACTCGAAAAACAGAAGAATTTCTCAACTGACATAGGTTCACTGTACTTCAGTTTTTTTGTTAAGTGCTCCATTGTCTGTTTTTATTGTGTTCATTTAAAACATAAAAAAATGACCAACTACAAATCAGCTTAGCCTGTAAATGATGTGTATTTGTCTATATATATATATATATATATATATACACACACACACACAAATAAACAATACAGGTAAAAAACAGGAAGTTGTT